CACACACACACACACACACACACACACACACACACACACACACACACGGCTAAAGAGACAACTCTTCAAAACAATAAAACGCCTATAATGACAAAAAAAATAAAAATGCCTGCCTAAACACAGAAATCTACTCAAGGCAGCGGCTGTTTTTCAAAAGTGGACCGCGAGGCGTTAAATATTGTATGTGCTGCATTTACTGGGATGAAACATAAAAGCAGGATCTACACCTCATCACGAGTCAAGGAGAGTGAACTGGGGGCATCTTCTATGAAAAAGCTCTTCAGGCTAAGAAATACTATTGGCCATCGTATAATGTATGCAGCCAGCATGTTGTATTACTCACTCCTAATCCTCCGTGATTGCCTAAGTACTGTTCATGAATGCTCTTGATTAGGCTACTTCAAAGCCTTAACCAAACAACAGCACCTTGCCACCAGTTACAAATTCACCCCTTAATCTGAAATTGTTTGTTAAGACTGTAAAAAAAAAAAAAAAAAAAAAAAAACTCAGTTCAGTGGTGTAAAAAAAGCATTAAGGAACTTACTGAAATCAATAAGGAACCTTCCAAATCCTTGCCTTTGGTACTGAGGCATGATCATTATGCAGGAGACATTGTACTTCTGCTGGCAAAGCTTTTCCTGAGGGAAGGAGAAACAGATCAAGTATGTCAGCGCTCTGCTGAAGCCGGCAATTTACTGCACCTGCCATTGTCCTTGTCTAAAGCTGAACACACACACACACACACTCACACACACACACACACACACACACAGACACACACACACACAGACACACAGGGCGATGAGCAATTTAAAAAAGCATCACTTTGTTCTGAACTGTAGCTACAACAAATGATGATTATGTTGTTGTTGGTTAATCTGTTAATTATTCCTAGATTATTTAAATCATCGTAATAAAATGTCACATAATAGTGAAAAACAGTTTCAAAATCTCATCTTCCAATTGCTTTCAAATGTCTTTATTTTACATCATTGTAATCAATAAACGATGATGTAAAAATACCTCGTACTTTAGAAGCTGGAACCTAATGTTTTGATTTGTTCTTGGCTAATCAAATAACCGATTAATCATTTAACCTCTACAGGGAATAAATTCAATCCACATTACACAAATGGACAAATTTGACTGTATCAGTATCACCATTGGAGAATGATGTGCGGTGTTCCTTCATTTACCATATAATCACTCTGTAATTCTTACCTTGGAGAAATAGCCCACAAGATGACAGCCTTTCTCATCATTCTTTGTAAGTATGTAGAAGAGGAAAGGCTCCACATCATAATACAAGGTCTTGTGATCCAGGAAAAGCTTGGCTAACAGGCAGAGGTTTTGGCAGAATAGTTTGCTGACATTTCCATCAACCTAAACACGGAATAAAAAGACCAAGAGGACACTGTTCAAACAGTTCCCATTTTCTCCCTCCGCCTCTTCCCAGAACCCATTCAGTGAAATCTCATGCAGCATACAGTTATTGCTTTATTGCTGTAAAGGGAAGCTGACCTCAAACACGGAAAGGTCCTCCTTTCTGTAGATTTCATTGGCTGGTGGGTGGAACCAGCCACACTTCTTTGTGTGTCTCTGGAGAATGTTTTTGCTCCTCATGTACTTCAGACAGAACTCGCACAGATAAAGCTTTTGTAATCTGACAAAGACAAACGAAAGAGACGCGGTTTGTACTTCAGCATTAGAGCTGTTTTCAAAAAAGGACACTGAAATAAAAAAATGCACCTCGGTAACAAAAGAAAGTGGCATATTATTTGTTGAGTAAAAAGCAGCATTCACCTTGAATATTCAGGAGGGTAAGGCGACGAGTACCAGGTTTGAATCTCATACTTCCCAAATTCAATGAGGGCCGGGCACCGCATGGAGTCTGTGTTCATCAGAGATCCAGTTCTCTGTAACAAGAGTGAACAAAAGCAAATGGATTAATGCGGTGACCCAGATAATCCAATCTTACAGCGTCTCTGATAACCAGTCCATAAAAACGCTATTCTGACAAAATACTCAAATCAAGATTGTGGATAAATTTGATCTAATTAAATCTGACCAAAACCTGCCACTAGTGAGATGTTAAATGTTAATACATCTTAAAAACTCAGACTTAAAGTCTGTATCCAGAAATCATGACCCTGTTGGTCAAGACAATCCACACACCTGGTGAGTAATCTCACGTAGGATCTATCTTCTTTCTACCGAACTACACCCGCTAACCGTATCACCACACCGAAGGAAGCGCACAGTTTACAGCGCACTGCTAGCTCACCTAGCACCACTGAGCTAGCCAACGTTACAGCTCAGCTGACGAGGGCGCCATGTGTACATCAGCCCGTGAGTAGTGATAAATAGTACTACAGGTAAGAGGACAAATATGGCTGTACTGTCCCTTTAAAAGTACAGGCTTTAAATCAATACCTTTCAGAAATACCTTTCAGTATATCCATTTTAGTAAATATATACAATAAGGTGCGCCTATAAGATGTAACCCATTAGATTTGTCATTGAAAGACCTTGTATTGTGCGGCCCATGTTAACCCCTTTAACTTTCAAACATCAATTTTCTCAGTTAAATCTAAAATTCCAGTGGATGTTTAAGATGTTCGGCCCCTTCCCGAGTGTTCTCACCTGCACGGTGACTTCCTGAACATGACTGAACGTCTCGATGTCCTCCTCCGTCACGTGGTCTCTGGACATGGCCGCAAAGTCGGCTTGGGCCTCCTGCTTCACGCGCAGCTCCCCGTTGTGGCCTGTTACAGGTACAAAAACACAACATCAACACATCAGATAGCACCACAACAACAACAACAACAACACCGGGATGTTTGAAGCAGCCGGGGCTGAATAATCTAAAAAATAAAAATGCATTCTATGCAAATGTGCTTATACTGTGAGTGCTGCTGCTGAGCCCGTTTGAGGCCGTGTCTCTGAGGAATTTCATAATGTATCATCTTTGCATGTTTATATGAAAATCCCTAATGTAATGAAGTGAAACTAAATCACTCTAATTGCGTAACCGCTTTCATGTGCTTAGTCATCCACCAAGACAGTTTCCCATGAATGAAGAAGCAGATGCAGTGAAGGGAGCAAGTGTCGACATGAAAAGCAACTGATGTTAGAAAGCAGGCAGTAATTTTATGAAAGACATCAACACCATGACATAACCACCAAAACAAAAAGCCATTATAAGTGGACGTGATGTGTCATTAACATATTTATGGAGATGTGCTGCTGGGGTAAGTAGTGTTTGTGCAGTATATTGTTTAGAACTGCTTGAAAGATATATCCGTTTGTTTCTCCTACGTGTTATTATTTAAAAAAAACTGTGACTTCGCTCCTGAAGACGTAAGGGTTACTGCACTTCTAGCTATAATCATCATGTCAGCTCTGAGTCAACTTGGGTGGGTGAATCACAGGGTTGTGTGTGTGTGTGTGTCTAATGACCGCTGGAAGTGAGGTTGAGTGGAGACAGTGATTTCAAGAGTGAAGGTGGGATGATGAAGGCCGCTGATGTGACTACAGCCACTACTAGGTAGTGATCACAATGGGCGCACTACTGCAGAGGGTCAAGGACAGAGCAAGGAGCAGCATGAGGGAGTTAGTGGGCCATGCACTATGACAAAAGCCAACGGGCGAGAGGATGGAAGCCACGTCAACGCCGCAGCCAAGTAAAAAATAAATAAATAAAAACGCAACGAAACTAGGTTAAGAAAACTAAAAGAATTCAAATTAGGCAGAAGATTAGTAGTCTGTTAGAATGTTGAGGGTGTCTTCTCAAAGAAAAGATTAGCTCTAGTCTGGGAAAAAATAAAATAACTGCGAGTCAAGCTTTAAAAAAAAAAAAAAAATGAAGAAGAAGCTTAAAGGTGTGGAGACGCAGGTCTTGGCTGGAGTTTCAAGCCTTGCTTACCATGATTATTCTCAGGCTTAATTCTTCCGTCTGTCAAGTCTGCCTTTCCTGGTGAGGGGGCTCCCTTCTGAGGGCTCACTTTATACCTCAGCCTGCCTAGCGTCCTGTGCTTTTTAAGGAAGGGATTACGTTTGAAATGACTGACCATCTTAAATGGGTGTCCTCTGGGTCGGCCCGGCCCAGCAGTCGTGGAGTGTAACCTATTTTTACTAAACTCATTCTTTCCGAGGCGCTGCGGCCCCGTTTTGGACGCATGGGTAGAATCCTGCTTATGATGCATGCGCTTAGGCGGCGCGTAGCAAGGTAGTCTCTTTTTCCGCGACTGTCCCTGAGTCGTGTAAATGTGAGAGAGTCCGTCAAACAGTCCCTTAAGTTGGCTGCTATTGCAGAGACTACTCAGGGAGGGAACACTAGACTGGCTGGAGGAGCTCTGGGGTGAGTTAGCGGAGGTGGAGCTGCTGGACACCTGCGAGGGGGGGCTAAGTCCCAGCAAAGTGGGAGCGGGAAGAGCAGAGGAAGAGGGGGTTATCGCTTGAGTGGCGTCAGCGGCAAAGGCAAACGGCTCTGGTGGCGGGGACAGATCGGGCAGACCCTCGTCTCTAGAGCCTAACTGTTCGGCGGGCGACTCTATGGCTACAGCTCGCGAGCGACGGCCCACAGGGGAAGGGGTAAAGAATTTGGAAAGCCCATCGATAAGCCCTTTGGTTTTCTTGTTAACAGTGAGTGTAGCTCGGGTGGAGGTGGGCGTGAGGGGGGGAGTGGTGGTGGTGGGAGTGGAAGTGGTGAATTGGGTGGCGTCGACCACACAACGGGGGTCTGCAACAGCCAATCTGTCTCTGGCGTCCTTCACAGATGCAGCATGACCAGATGAAGGTGTGGAACAGACGGTAATCTTTTGACCCCTACCAGGTGACCCCCTTCCTCCAAGTGCTACCATGGAGCCGTCACCACTGCTGACAGACCTGCAAGACAAGACGTTGTTGTGGAAGGTCAGATCTCACTGTCGACGAGTGCTTTTTTACTCCAGTGCATGTATCGGACACGTACAGTTACTAGTCACTTTGCAAGATTACGACAAAGCATGTGGCTAACTTCTAAAACATGTTACAAAGTAATCTACCAATAATTTATAATGTTGTTAAACTAGCTTCTCCTCAAACAGCTACAACATTAAAGTGCTAAATGTTCAATGTTTTTCAGCAGTGTCGCTATCTTCCAAGATCTTTACAACTAACTCAGAATACAGTGAACACAACGTTACCATCACCGATAGGAACATGCCTTTGTTACTCAGATTAGTGCACACTTACATTCTTTGTTTGAGCTTATTTCTGGGCCTTCCGATTGGCTTTGCATATCGACGTTTGATCTGATCGGCTTTCTTGTGGAGCAGTTTCTTCCCGTTGTCCTTCGGCCTGCAGACTTGGCAGGCCCAGGTACCTGGAGGGAGTCCAAACACACAGAGAGTACCGTTTGAGTGGGTTCATCAATTCAGAGGACATACAGTACATTCATTTGAAACATTTCCTTTAATACCGGGAGCTGGCGGAGAATCTTTGCCAGTTCACAATGACAATCGATTACTCAGCACAAAGCAAAAATCCATAAGAAAAACACTGGGTCAATTCTCTGTCCGGTGGAATAGACTTCGCGTCAGCTTGTTGAGCGGAGCTATGTCCTGCTACAGTACGTGAGCCGTCATTACGAGCCTCGCTGTAGGGTCAGTACTGTAATCCAGAGATAGCAAACCTCCCCCCGGGGGATGCTGGAATAATTTGATACACATGCAAAGCTTCTAATAAGCCATCGCTGCCTCTCTGTGTGCTGAGTGACAGCCCCCCAAACGGCCGTCTGTGAAGGAGGAGGCTTTGAATTGACAGCAGCGAGGGGAAACAGAGGAGCCAGACAGTGTAAACAGCTCACCTTTTGGCATTCTTGAAAGCGGCGGGTTGCAGCATTCCATGTGAAAGCCCCGATCACATGAATCGCAGAACAGCATCTCATCCTGAAAGGCAACAGCAGGCATGTGTGAGGGCTGTCCCTGTTGCATACATGTCACACACACACACACACACACACCCCCTCCCATGTCATTTAAAGTATTTTGGAAAAATAAGCCCAACTGTGCACTGGAGAGGCTTTACAAATGTGAAAAACCAACAAATCCTCCAGGATGCACAAAAAGGGATCTACCTCCAAGCCCACTACACAGATAATGTGGTGTTCAGGATGTATGCGACATTATACTCACAGCGTTTTTCCCCTGTATTCGACAGGAGCTGCAGGTTTTGCATTCAATACACTGCCATCGTAATCTCTTCACATTTGAGGTTAATTCGGGGGAAAACTTCAGACATGATGGATGCCCTTCAGAAGCAATGGAAAAACGCACATTAGCAAAACACATTCTTTACACTAGCGGCAGACTGTGTCACAGAGCTAGAGACATATATTCACACAGTGCGGTTAAACATTAACATATTAGATCATCAAAAAAAAAAATACAATGGTGTGCCTGTTACTGTATGTCCGCGACACTCCCCCCCCCCTGCCACAAGTTGTGTCTAAAAACAGTATGATCAAACATCCGAGCTGCTAATTACAGATAATCTGATCTTAATGAGGCAGAAACAGGAGCAGCACTCATTCTAATGGAAGTCGATCCATGAAAGTCATGTAAAAGCTCGCCTTCCCCCTCACATGGTAGTAAAACAGCTGTTTTACAGCGAGAGCACCATTTGTGTACACTACGAGCAGTTAATGAAAACCACCTCGACGCTACTTAAGTCAAATTTGAGCTGTAAAAATGTCACCGTGGAGAACAATTCCTTACAGCATTTAAAATAATTGTTCAAACATAAAGGACTCTCCTTGGCAGAGAGGTAATTTTATGGAACAAAAGAACAGTAAAGGAAATGCCACCAATCCGCAGAGGGAAAAGGGTTGATCTCTGATCCGCTGTGCCTCTATAAGAAGAATCTGGAATTGAGCGAAATTGACTCGGGTGATTTCGGATTCTAATGGCCACTTATAGAGCATCTGCCCTTCTATAGTCCACCGAGGGTTGCGAGCAATTTGGATCCCTCCAGCCGCTCAATTTGAACATTGTCCTACCAATAAATCCCTTAAAAGGACGGTGAAGAATGTGGAGCGAGAATGTGACATCTGCCCAAACCCCCACGCGGAGAGAACTACTGCAACCAGCCAGGGTTTGGTGAGTGTGATAATATCCATGATATTGTGAGATAATAGAAGTTTTTAAAAACAGACACAGATTTATCTACAACCTCTATACCGAGGTAGCTTTGCTAGCTCAGGCTGTAGAAGGTTATTGTAGGACATTTTGCAAATCAATGAGCAGCAATGCTTTATGGAAATATTGGATTTGCAGGATTTTTGGGTACAATGATTTGTCAGGTAAAACAGACATTACCATCTCGTTATATACACATTTGGCCGGCTGAAAAACGACATTACATATATAACTATTGTGATATCAAATTGTCATGAGACATACCGTGTCAACTAGTTGCTACTATTCTATTCTATTAGTATAGGGCAATTAATTCAATATTATTGTCATAGAATTACACCGATATGATAAATAGCTTTACACAATGTAAACATCCTGTGGTCCAAATGAATGATTCCAAGCAAATCTTAGTTAAAAACGAGCACGATTTTGTTTTTGAAGAGAGACACTGTTCATCAAATTTGATAATATAAATGGGATTTTGCCTAAATGCCATATACGAATGCGTATTGCCGATCAGCTCCTCTAAATATCGCCAACCTGTGTTCCTACCACACATTCTTGTGAGCCTCCCCGCTAACAGACTACATGCAGCATGTTGTGGCTCGTGAGAACTTACCACTGCTCCCACAGTCTGCACAGGACAGCAGCTCTTCTGGCCGCTTGTCCCGATTCGACTCTTTCGTTCCAAGACAGAAACTGCATATTGGGATGGGGTCAACCCGGAGCTGGGTGGGAACACAAACAGAGAAACAAACTGTTTAAAAAACAGAAACAGGCACAGGCTGTGGTATGAAGTGCCTGGAAGCCTGCTTGTTTTTGAACATTTGTTTTGGAATTATTTGCCGGTTAATGCAAGACAACAAAACCAGTGTGTGATTTAATGAAATGGCCACAAAAATATGAACTACAAACCTCGTGGAATGGAAAAAATGGGAGTTCTCACAGACCAGAAAATAAATAATAAATGAACGTTGTCCTCGGAGATATTGAGATCCACCTCCTTTATCCATTACATGAATGGGTAAGTGATCTTAGTAATCATAGTTTAAGGGCTTAATCCAATTCTTAAAGCTTGCACTCCAGTCTGAAAGGATTAACCAGCATGTAATCAAATTACCTCAATAATAAAACATGCTCTCATTGTTACCGCCGTGATCCACTATAAATGTTGCAGAGTCTCAGAACAAATACTCATTTGAGGGCTTACGGTTAAGTTCAGAAGAAGTGAAATATGAGCAGAAGGTTTCTAACACCGAGTGAGAAGAGGCCGACTCCACAGAGGAAGACTTCTTCATCAAACAGCCGGTCCAAAAATGGAACCAGGACCAGACGGACCCCACGCTGACGTAACACGCCTGTAAATGTGAGATCACGTCCAGGAGAGTCTAGAGGAGCATCAGACAAAACCTCCTTCCTCGCTTTAGAGGAAGTTCTGTACGGAAAATAACACTCACATGGTGCGACGGTAAATACCCACCTCATCACTTTACACACACTACTACCTCATCAATTCACTGGAGCCTTGAAGGGCACTCTGGGGATGCCCGTAATTAGTTCCTGATTTCTATGATGCAGATCAGCATCCTGACCTCAACACAATATAAGACTTTCCACATCTCTGTTTTGGTCCTGATCTCCTCCTAACCTAGAAGACAGTTGCATCTTTTCAGCCTGTCATCCACATGAACCCTTTAGGGAAACGCAGCGAGGACACAGTGGGGATTGGGTCATTGTTCCTGGCTGTTGTATCAATTAGCTGTTGCGGTGAAGGGGGAAGTAGTTTACTGCCACATCGATGATTGCTCTATTTTCCAACCTGCCAGGTCAATATTTGAAAGCAGCCACTGCCATTAGATGCCGACCGCTGCTCGCACAGCTTCGATTATGGACATGAAAACACTGAAAGGCTACTGTGTGATGAGGCAACACCTGTGGAGTACAGCACTGGGCAAAGTAATGCGTGGCTTTGGTATCGTCTCATGTTATGGAAGACAAATACAAATACATTTGGCACAGATTAAAAGTTGGGCAACTGCAAACAATTCAGGCCTGGTTGGAAGTATTCTTCATAATCCAAATGCACATAACAAACAGAGGATTTTTCACCAATCATTTTGATACGGGATTATACATTTAGGTAATTTATCAAGCCAAAATGTCAAACTCTGGTTTCAGCTTCTCACATGTGACTATTTCTCTGTTTTCTGGCACATCTTTGGGTTTCAGACTGTTGATTGGACGACAGAACCAAAGTGAAGACGAGCAGTTTTATTCTGACTATTTTCAGACATTGCAGAGGCTAAAGGAATAATGACAAAACTGGGCTGTTAACTGGGCTACACAAAGACGGTCAAACTAGAGCTCATCAAAGTTCAAATCACATTGGCCCAGAGCAGAGATAAATGGAGAAATATTATTATTTTCTCCTTGATCACAAGCCATTCTAGGTTATCGCTGCTAAATGATGCAGTGAAAGGCCTCAGTGTTGTGGTTACTTCAGAGTTACTATTACAATCTGTTTATGTACAAGAAGTGCATGTGTGTCGTCTTTATTATGAAATATCACGCAATCACTGAGTAAACAATTTTCTTGAGAGCCTTAAAACTCAGATTTTGGGCTAACAAACATCATAAATATGATTTATACAACACAAGCCAGAACATTAGTGTAAAGAGCTTGAAATTAATACGACATCAGTGCTAATATGCAGCCTGTGCATACCGCTGATGAAATGCTCAGAGCTGATAGGCAAGCTTTTTTTTTTTTTTTTTTAAATAAGTCTCCACTTCATAAAATAGTCTCTGCTGACTGAGCTATGAAGTCTAATCCAGGAACTGGAGAATTAATTTCCATCAGGAATATTCTTAAGGCCTGGTGATTAAAACCAATAGCAATTTGCAATCTGCACAGCGCCCCAAAAAAAAAAGTGAAAAGAGAGAAACAAACACAGCTGAAGAGAGATGCTGATGATTTACTTGGGGATTCTAAATTAAGTACGTTACAGGAAATGATGCTGCTTGAAAAGAGCAGGCTGTCCTGAGTGAGGGGGTGGGGTCCTATTAGAAAACTGCTGAGAGAGAGAGAGAGAGAGAGAGAGAGAGAGAGAGAGAGAGAGAGAGATTGCATAACGCAGCAGGGAAAGAAAAAAGAAACTCATTCCTTGCCTTTGTTCCTGCCAGAGTCTCTTCAGAATCTAATAAACTCTAAACCAAGACTTTTTTTGTCTCAAAGTATCTCTTATTCTCAACACACACACACACACACACACACTTGTGTTTCAACCACTGAGACGTCTCATCCTTTGAAGTGTAAACGGTAAACCTGGACTGGGCCCGGTGATGTCATCCGGCTGGGAGCAATAGGTTGAAATGTTCCTAAATGGAAAACAGCAGGCCGTCCTCGGTTATGAGAACCATCGCAGGACACCGCGTCTCTATAAACACTTCTCAGTTTCACTTTTGGCCTGACCACACACACACAGTCACAGTTGTGGCTGCAGTATCAAGGTGTCGCTTCCTGATTATTCACAGTGAAACTGGCGGGGAAGTAAGGGGTGACATCTCTATAGCTATGATGCTGCTATAGCCACTTCAGCTGCATAACTTTGTGCATAAACGATTAGACCGCACTTCATCCGGACACACGATCTGCAAAAGAGCCCTAACAACAAACTACCCGGATGACTGTACACTGCACTTCAGGGCCGTACTATTTATATCTCCAGTGTCTTAAACTCACAAAGCCAGTACAAAAGTGCTGTCATTTTGCAGACTTTTGTCTGTAGTGTGTTCTAGCTTAGCACCAATAACAAAGACACGATCTCTGCAAACTGTAAACTGCCCTTGAGGTGCCTAAAGCAGCGGAAACATTGCCACCTAGAAGTTTGTTTATATGGTTGTATTTCCTCTCTATGGGGCATCTCTGTTAGCGTTAAGGTCATGACAGACTGAGAATATTCTGTCCCGCAACACATTCTTCAGCTGCCACTTCTCAGCACCGCTTGTGACGACTAGTTTACACTCATGCCCTTGTAAATAAGCAATAAAATATCCCAAAATCTGTTCACCAACGCTTTGCTACACACAAGACAGCCAGCCCCATCCCTTCAGGTCATTAGGCTGGAGTTACATAACCTGTGGGAAGCCTACAGCAGACTGCCTACCACACACTGTCAGCATGACTTTCTGATTATCCAAGCTCTCACGTTATGGAGATAAACAACATCACAGCCCCACAGACACGCACTCTAGTTGCCGTTTGCTTCTGACCTGCCAAGCTAGTGTCTCCCAACGATTAAGATCACAATCATAACATTCCTATCAAGTGAATGTGGCCCAAACTTTTTATACTTCCTCCTTGGTAATGACATCATGGAAATGCCACTGTTTGAGTTACAAAAAAAGGTCCTTAGTTCTCGCAAAACACAGCGTTACTACGTGTTACAGCTGGGTAAGAAGGTTGAAATCAATAATGCATTAATAACAGAAAAGTTGACTATTATGCAGGCCATTCCTTTTCAGGGTAACAGCACCATATGACTAGCTTGGGGATAAGCATGAGGTGAGAATGCAGAGGCCAAGGTGTGTGTACCTGGTCTCGCTCATGTGGGAGGAGTGTCACTGACGACAGGACCAAGGGGGAAGCACTCGGACACCTGGAGCCCCTTCCCTCCGCACCGCCATGGCTGAGCTTATACCGCGGGCCGTTTTTTGACAACCTGCTGTTGTTGACCGACCGCTTGGCCGCCAGTCGTAACCTCTGCCGGAAAGCAGGGTTATCGACAACGGTCGAGAGGTCGTCCTGGTTCCTCAGGTACCTCTCGATATTCTTCAGCGAGGAGCCGTGGGTATCATCCAGGCCCTCGATGGCCCTCTTGAGTATTTTATTCCAATCGATATGGCGCAGATCACTTGAATTCCATATAGATTCCTTTGATGGCACAGACACGTTTGCAGGCGGGATTGATCCAACTCTCCCGGGGTTTCCTGGGTCCTTGTAGGAGGCGCTCCCCTTATTTGTAACCTTGAGGATAGAGCCATCGTGAACACTTAATCCCAACTGCTCAAGGACGGTCTTCTTGTCCAGTCCATGCGAGGTGGCCACCGCATGACAGATTCTCTCCTCTGAAGGCCTCTGCTTTTGCCTTTTGATTTTCTGTATTGCTTCAAGAATCCACTCCGTGTACAGAGGGTTTGCAAGTTTTACCATGATTGAACAATTAGACTCACAAAAAAAATGCAATCCATACAGATTCCCCAGGATACATCCACATCCTTATGTAAAGGTCAAAAAGTTATGCTCCACGCCAGCATCCATATACGTCTTCTCAATCCTGGGTGTCTGACATCGGTGATGAGGAAAAGTTGGCACGAGTAAAATCCACAATGGTAGTTACCGACTGACCTGAGGCTTTATGTATTCAACTCCGGATCAAATCTGAAAAAAGGGAAAACAAACTGGTCAAATACATTTGTAATATCTCTCCTGTGATAGCTGGTTATGTCTTCATATTCACATTCCATACACTAGCTAGCTCATAGCATATTGTAAATAAAGGCCAGGCCAGAGGAATGCAGGGCATTTAAGATGTGTTAAAACATGAGAAACAGATGCATAATAACAGATGCAGGAGCTGTCATGGTTGCTGGAGAGACTTAATCCAGTCTGACACCATAATCCACACACCACACCAGATGTCCGCTTCAAAAGAGACTGTCTTTGTAAAAAGTAGTAAGTTTAAACACTGTGACAGGTCGCTGGAAACTTCTATCGAGTTCTGGAAAAGTATAAACATTCTCCTCGACGGATAAATATTTTTGGATTTCAGATTGCTCGTCGACATAAAAAAAAAAAAAAAAAAAAAAAAAAAAAAAAAAAAAAAAAAAAAAACAAGTTCACATTTATTTCTGCAGCACGTAATCTTCCAAAATGTCACCTTAACATTTCTCCGTCTAACACACAGGAACTGGCTAAAAACGATCATACGTAAAGTTTAACCGTTACTTGTCCGCACGCGACTTTTGACAGCTCGACGTCCGCAACGACAAAACGGAATCGTCGCGAGCTCTAATGACAGACGTTTAATCAATGCTCACTTCCTGGCAGCTGCTCGGCGTCTTGAAGGGACGTCTGCGAAATATAACCACCGAGCCGTTAAACGAAGGAAGAAAAAAAACAAAACCGTTAATAACTACGTAACAAACCTAAAGAGTTGTGTTCCGCTGAGTTGAGCAGATAAATGACAGTGTTACCAGGATTACCGATGTCACCTAAACAGTCGCCATTTTGTTACAATGTTGTAGTTTACATGAATCCGACATGACGCTGATTACAATCCAATGGAGTCTCATTAAACCTTACCTACACTAATGTGCCCTCCCTAGCAACTTCAATATTGGCTGTAAAGACAAGATCCGATTTCTGGTTTGATAAAGCACATGTCAATCTTTATGTATGAGCTCACTCTCAGAGGCTCGGCACTGGCTGTGTGATCTGTCACTTCACTCGATTGACCCGCCTCTTAAGGTGCCTTCAGTGATGAATGGATATCATTTACCTCAAACACTCGTAATATCTGAACTTAACGGCTCTAACCGCAGTGACGGGACATTATCAAGTCATAAATAAACTATAATGGGCATAAACTGGCTGAGTAACGGTTAAACGAGATAAATATTTAACCTCATTTGCGACCCGTTTAACGCCAGCCCACCTTTACTTAGGTTCCTCCTTGAAACAGTTGGTTACACTTGAAAGTGATTTGGAACATTATAGACTTTAATTGGCTGTTTGTTAAATCTATCATTTGTTTGCGTAAAGGCTCTAGCGCTGATTTAAAGTGGAACACATTTCTTTAAAATAAAAATAAAAATAAATTCCAGGTAGCATATTGAAGACTCCTGCAGGCTAAATGTGTCTAAGCTGTCGCCTTTCTCTTCATCGTCCTCCCTTTTCATTATTTCCCCGAGAGGAGCCGTAATTCTCCTGATATTTAACATTTCAAATAAATAAATACACGTTCCGTTAAGCTAAAGAAAAAGTAGCTCGCTCCAACGTCTGCAAGCGTAATAACAAACGTCCTGTGTTGCGCTGTGCAATGATGGCATGCCCTCTTTATCACCCATTAACTATCAAATATCTCCAATGAGGAAAAAATAGTGAGCCCTGCAGGGAGAAAAGACGTTCATGGGGGAATACAAGTTAGCACGACTGCCGGGAGAGTAGCTCCTTCATCACTGCTTTTCAATTATGTATCGCTGGTTTCTTTAGCTCCCATTTCTCAGCTTCAGCTCCGCTCTCGTTTTCCATATTTTATTAGGAAATGATACACAGCCTCCTTGGATTTTTCCACATCGTTTATTGTTAGATGTTACGCAAACCCGACCTATCTAATCTGCCGCCGCCACCGCCGCGGGCGAGAAGACACAACAAATTAACGCCAAGTTTCATGCAAGGATGAAGATAACTAGTAGCTTATGAAAGGGAAGAAGGAGAAGAAAAAAAAAAAGAAAAACGAGGACACAGTCTAGCGTAAATATTTGCTGGTAGTTTACCTCTTCAAGTTTTTCCCCCCCTCGGATACTCCTCTTCATTATCGGGGAAACGTCGAAGGATACATGTGCAGCGACATATCCAAAAAGCGATTTCGTGGGATTTGATCTCTCGAAGCGAAGGCTGAGAAAGCTCTCGCCGAGACATGGAGAGGACCTGATAACAACTAATTGAAAGGTTAATCTACATAGCAGCCTGTGACAAAGTGGTACCCTCCCCCTTCTTCTTCTTCTCCCACTGTAGACATCCCTACTTCAGTGTAGTGGAGCGGACCGTCGCCCCTTTAGTGCGCTCCTACAATGATATTGTCAATTTCACTTCCCCCCCCCTCCATCAACATGTCCAGTGATGAGCCAAGAGGAACATTTTTACACTACATATTTTTGGTGGATTAGTCTCGGCAGTTCTACATGGGCACAAACACTCTATTAACATTTATTCCCTCTGGGCTTTTTATTTATTTATTTTAACTTCCATTGATGTGCAGAAGATATAAGATCAAATGTGACATAAACACATACATTTTTTATTTTAAACGGAACTACTTCTTGCACTGGCCAATACTACCCAGGGCAGTACGGGATATCATACACTAACACCATAATCTGCTAATTAACTTCACCATGCCCGAGGACGAGCAATAGTTGTTAGCAATAATGTAGATCATTAAATTTTCAGCCTTTAGATTTGCACTCCCCTCGCTTATCCTCGCCAACTCTTTGGGAGCATTAGAAATGACAGAAAGCTCATTTTTCATGCAGTAATTCAGATGTAATTAGACAGATAATTGGTAACTTCCCATCAGATTATAAACACATACTGCACCGTACAGGCGGCTTTAAAAGTATCTCAAAAGAAAACATTTTAACCCTTATAAAAGACATTTTATGAGTAATCTGATTTGTGTTCACATAGTCTTTTGACATTATGCTGTATCTTCATCAAAAGCTCTTCTTATTACCTTGATGACCTCATTGATGTTTATTTACCTGCCTCCCCCCACAGTGTTTATAACATTCCCAGTTTTGTTGCCGTTTAATCCTTGACATTTATTCCAATCTACTTACTGATGATTTGAGGTAAACATGTGCAAATAAAATGTGATTTCATTGAGGCTCTGCTGTAAAACAGCGTGTAATGTGAGTAAAAAAGGGGTTTTGATTTGCGTTTAGCACTGGTGACATGATGGAGGCACTGACCAAACCTGCCTGTGTCTGGTTATAATGAATGCCACCCTGGGCCCCAGCAGGTCCTCCACTGCTGCATGGGTCCAGGGATAATTTGAATTGGAGCATGTGCCATTGCAATCTGCCCATCCCCCTCCTCAATCCCTGCCAACTGCCACACTGGTGTTCACAAACACTGCTGCCCATCTGCGGGGCAAAACACTGGCCAGGGCCCCAGTTACTCCTTTGCCTGCATTCAGAAAAAAAAAAAAATATTCTGGTCGTGAACTCACTTTTGTAAGCAAATATCACACAAAGTCAAGTTTCCCCTCTTCTCCCTACTTCAAAGTCGTTAACAGCAGATTAAACTCAAAACAGTAAATTAAATGAGATTTTGTATATTGCCGCTACGCAATAAAACGGTCATTAAACATTTGTAAAAAGGCCTCGGGCTCACTAGCTTTAGAAAACTGATAGCATAGCATTGTAAAATGTAAATTAAATGCACAGATTTTATGTTTGTTTTTCAACCTCTTGTATTCACTGAGCGACGCAAAAGTTTACCAGGAAAAGTGAGAGAAGTATGTTTAGTAGTTTCCTTATTGTGGCAGGCGTTCTCATTACTTGATCGTGGCTCCCTCTTTTTGTGTTTGTGTTTTGCCATCTGTCATCTTGAGAAGCAAATGAACCAGCTGCCATGGAGTGTGATCTTGCCCAATCAGAAATGTGGTCCTTTTCAAAGCGCATCTGTGTGAAACCTTAAAAAATGCTGATGGAAAAAAAAAAAAAAAAAAAAAAAAGTGTCTCAAAGTTGTTAATAACATTTTGGCTGGAGAACGTTTTCACCAAGATGCCCCCGATTAGCATAAATCCATAAACTGTGCCTCATTATGGGAAGCAGAGTTCTGGTCCAGGGAGTGTAAGAACTGCATTCCTCCCATTACGCTCAGAGAACATAAAATAAATATGATGTAACAGGTTGTTCTAGGGGAACAAAAAAAAAATGTTCTTCTGAATCACACGTCTTTGTAAAACAGATGAGCTTTGAATTGTTTTCAACAGAACTTGAGACACTGCCCAACACTTCTGCTGGCCCACACTCAGTATGAGGGGAGGGGCCTCCTGTGATCCTCGCCTCCAACCCCCAGCGACAGCACAGCTGGGTACGGGGGGGGGGGGGGGGGGGGGGGGATCAGGCTAATTTTCAGGTCCCTCTAATGATGGCCACGAAGAGCAACCGCTAATCCCTTAACTGAGAAAAATGATCTCCTGTAGCCCTGCAGTGCAGCTCCAGACCCCAAGAGTCCAGTTAGGACCCAACAAGCATGAGTAGGGGGCGACTGAGCGGAGCCAGGACACCAGGCCGGTCCTGGTCCTCCCACCCCTCACCCCCAGTCCTCTCTACAATGGAGGGTGTTGAGCTGTCCAAAAGTGATTAGCATGAGGGAGCCTCTGGCTGAGTAAATAATGGGGAAATACACAAACCCTGTTGTTGCATTTTATTTTGGGGTAAAACAAATCCCATATATTAAAACTTACTTTTGGTTTTGTTATAGGATTATCTCGGTAGGGGGAGTTTGATATTGTTTTATTTGTAAAATAACAAAACATTCTGCAGCATAACAGCTGAATATTTAAGTAACTGTAAATGTGTGTATTATCACATTTTCATTTTGGAAAATATTCAACTTGCGGATCAACAGCGGATTACGCAGCAGCAACGGTTTGAGAAGTTTTGATGGATATATTTTTTAGGCATAACTCTGGGTCACCATCAGAATCGATTGTAACTTCTGTGAATCAAAGCAGACTACAGCTGCCGTCCTTCACAAAAGGAGCAAACAAAAAAACTTTTCAGAAACTTCTCAAACATATCCTGCAGGATGATCAACTTCTCCACCATGGATCCAAACTATCGTCGCTTTTCACTTCCTTAGTGTTTGAAACATGCAGAACATATAGATCAATGGCGGAGATCAAGTGTACACTTCTTCACACCTTCCAGGCCTACGGGAGTTCAGTTTTTGACGCTCAAACGATAGATTTTCAGCGGAATGCTCCTTTAAACATAACCATTTTATTCCAATACGTGATACCAGCACACTTGAATTGTATTCAAACATCAAGTTGTTTTTTTTTGTGAGCTTGATAAAATATTCAAGCTGTAGCACTTAGTCCCATGCAGTGAGTCACTGTAAATAGAAAATAAAAATGTACATAAAATCCTGAAGCATACGTATACAAGTATCTTGTGGAACAGACATTTGTGCAGTGCTCGGATGCATCAGTGAAAGTCGGGCTTCTCTGGGAAGGTACACCCGACCCGCCGGATGATGACGTTGGCGGCATAGTGTCCCGCCCGGATGCACTCCTCCAACACATGCTCTTGGACCAACGCAGAGAGGAATCCTGGGTAGAGAGAAGAGCAGAGGTCAACCTGTAACCCTCCATCACCTCCAAAATTGCTTGGGCAGCAGTTATCATTAATATGAGCCAGGTACTAATGGTTTCTGTATAAAAGGACATGGCTGTTTCATCCTCAACGGGACCCAAATGGTGACAGTTTTATGTTGTGCTATGATCAGCTCATACAGAGTGAAAACAGCAGGCTTAATGTCACGCTCATATAATCTGGAGGCATTACTACGTTACATAGTTGGCCGGTATCAAAGGTTAATTGGGATTGTACATAGAAATCAAGCTGTGTCGAGGATGATTTTCATGGCGTACCTCCCACAAAGGCGTCTCCGGCTCCGTTAGTGTCCACAATATGATTTTGGTCGATGTCCAAAACGGGGAACATGGTCACCTTCTCATCTGTGGTCAGGACACAAGAGGGCTGTTAATTAAAGCTGAACACCAGTGGAGTTTCTTTTCATAGCCCATTTCACACAGCAAGGCTTGTGATAATTGTTATGATTTGAGATTTGAGCACTTCCGGGTTGACAGTTTTTGGCTAAAGTGTAAAATAGAAGATTAAGACTTACAGCACACATGTACAACATAATAAACGTTGAGTAACTCAAAGACAGTCATTAAGGAAGTCAAAGTTTAATATTTAACGTTGATAGGACATGAAACTTCAGTTAGCATCGTTAAGGCTACCAAAGCTAAATATTTGCCGACAGTTTTTAAAGTTAGGGAACTATGAGACACTTTGGTTTGAATCTAAAAACACACTAGTCCAAACAATCAAATATATTCATTGGAAATGATAAAACAGTGCAAAAAATGCAATAGTACTCATTTTTTAAATGTCTCATAAGGCTTCTATTGATAGCCACATTAATGACTTTGGTCATCAGCCTTCGCGGCATTTTAGTGCCGTTCAGTGCTAATTAGCATGTGTGATTATGCTAAAACATACAAGATTTAGATGGTGAACATGGTGAACATTAATCCTGCTAAATGTCAGCATGTTAGCATTGCCACCGAGAGAGTGTTAGCATGCTGGCGTTAGCATTTAGCTCAAAGCAGCCTCACAGAGCTGCTAGCATGGCTGCAGACTCCTAGTCTATAAATTGGCTGCAGACTCCTAGTCTATAAGTTGGCTGCAGACTCCTAGTCTATAAATCCTATAAGTTAATCTATTGATTTAAAGAAAATAAATCTTTCAGTCTACCAAATATAAAAAATGGTGGGTAATGAACGCCCTTCACAAGTTCCCAGAGCCCAAGAGGAATTTTTCAAATAGATTGTTTTGTTCGACCAACATTTCAAAACCCAAATACATTTCCTAGCGTTTGAGAAGCTGTCATCAGTGAATATTTGGAATTTTGCTTGATAAATGACATTCAGCAAACAACTGATTCTACAGATGTTTCTTTTCTGTTGCAGACAAATGGATTATGTAACTATGGTTTCAGGTAAATTAGATGTTAAACTAAGGCACACTTCAGTATAAAATAATGCAATGACCTGAATAAATGAATGATCAGATGAAAATATTCTCACCATCTCTAGGTGAGTCCTCTGATGACATAAAAACAATGCAAGAACAGTTGCTGTAAGTTTCAGTTCAAAACGGAACCCATTAAATGAGGGACTCTTTTTTATCTTCAGTGAACTATATTGCTTCAATTATCAGTAGCATATGCACTTCAAAGGGACTTCCAGTTTAAAGGAGAGGGGGGGGGGAAACAAAAATCTACCAGATGACGAAGTCTCGAGGTGTAGTGACATTAAATCAGCAACTTATGTCAGAACAATCTAAACCACACACACAATCTTCAAACAATCTGAGGGCTCTGGTGGAACCTTCAAAAAGGTGCAGGAGACAAAAGACTGACATGTGGATAAAAGGAACACGTGGAGGCTGACAGACCTCTTATTGAGCAAAAAGAGGTTACAAGTTAAAGGAGAACATGAGGGGGTGGGGGGGGACTACAAAAAGTTCTTTAATGAGGCTCCCTGCTAATCTAAGAATGGCTCACAGAATATCTGTGCAGAAGATAAGACACCCCCCGCCTTATCAGTTTTTGAATAAATGTCTGCTCTTGTCCTACAGGGCAAAAGAGCAAAAGATACACAACCTGTAGCTGAGCATATGCTCAACACCTGGTGTCAAGAAAATGACTGTAATACGCCAACTGTGAGAGAAACTGTGAAAGAAACTGTGAGAGAAACTGTGAGAGAAACTGTGAGAGAAAGGGTTGGAAATGACATCTTCGGAATGTGAATGTGAATGCATTACAGGTCAGGTCCCGAAGATGTGTCTGATAAAGAGTTAGATTGTGTTTTCATAATGAGACACTTTCCTTTTTAAAGGAAAGCAGGAGATTGTCTCTTTGATAATAAATTATAATAAGACAAGAATCCTTTTAGGATCAGCTAATTAGCAGCATAACGACTCTGCTTAATTAATGCCACAGATGAAGCTTGAGAATCCTCCTCCCTCTTGAAACGATTAACCGCAATGGAAAATGTGCTCGTAATAAATTACAGTTATGTCACTTGTTCCACAGTTAGATGTGGTCGTGCTTATGCGATGCGCTTTGCGGCTATGAAAGCAGATGCTTTTACAGGTTGAAGATGATGCAAAGATCCTGCCGTTCATTAGACCCGAGCAATGAGAATCACGGTGTCAATATGTTTATGGCAGTTAAAAGAAATGGTTAGCCTACTCCAGTGCGGGTGGTACAGGAGGAGACGGGGTCTTATTAGAAACACAGTTTGCAACCAGGTAAACTCTCACATGAAGCTCGTCTTTGTGATAACACTACACCCAGAGGTGTCAGAATTCATTAACCAGACCTACTGCTATGTCGCAATGAACAGTTTCCATTAACTGTAACTCAAAGTACTGTGTTGTTTTTGTGAATTCTTAGAATATTTAGGAAAACGTGCACATGTGAACATATGAATATGAATGCAAACATTTCTGACCGACAACATCACTACTGTTGAACTCATTTCCAAAACTTTGTGTGCACTATTTTTTTTAATAAAGCATGGTACAACAGACATCCAGTATTTCTCTGACTTCTATCCTCATGGATGGAGTTACAGTTTGTACTCTGCTGCAAGGCTAAAGTTCACATAAACTCATGGATGCAAATTATTTAATTTGACTGACATGTTAGCTCCGGTTACAGTCCAACAATTCCCCTGCCGCCAGTAACAAAGATCTCATTGGTAAAAGTCTGTCATGGAAATGGCAATAACAGAAAAAGCTCTGGCCAAAACACTCAGACTCTGTTGTTACTGGCTTGTGCAACGTCTGGAACCATCACTTCCCTGAACTCATTTCCCTGTAATGACACCCGTACAACAGTATTTTCAATCAATAAACCTCTGCTGTACTTTTTTTCAGCTCGAACATATTCTCGTTTCTAAAGTTTTAGTTTGATAACATGAGTGAAGCAGCAGATTGGTGGTGAGTACGTGGGAAGTGTAGTATGGCTGTGCTTTGACAGGTAACCTGCAACAGAAGAGGAAAAAAAACCCTGAGAAAAGCCTAGAAAGAATTGAAATACTTCCTTCGAGTAAGCTATAATTGTGCTTTCGTTAATTCGCTCTTCATAATTCCCTCATTACAACTCTTGAATGGTGGTGATTAAACTTAAGAAATTCTTTCAACAGGCGTCTCTTTGAAATGAGTATCAATTAAGTCCTTTATTATTGGCTATTCTTCTCAACAATGCCAATTCGCTGACTGAGAAAATGCTCTTCTGCTTTAAAAAAAAAAACACATAAAAAAACGACTGTACATGCAAATAAGACGACCTCTGCTTTATTGGAAAATGAGCATATGGAGGGTTGTTCCGACTCTTAAATTATTGCATGCTCCACTTGGTTGTGTTCCAGCGCTTCATTGTTGCTTTGACAGAAAGCAGGTCGATCAAATAGCTGGCACATCATTAAAATTAACTTTGATCCTGTCACACTTTATCATCGACACAAGTAAAACAATCAATGCATGATTTGAACTCCTGAGCTGCTAAATGGCTGTCCCACACGACTGTTAAGCTAAAAGGCATGATCTAAAGTACTCAGAGTTTAAGTACGACATCTTTATGTGAGAAACTTCCACGAGAATACTTCTGCTGGAATGTTTCCTGTTGCATTTCAGCCAAACTCGGAGCCTCAGAGAGGAAAACAACGTTACCGCTTTCTTGGCAAACGCGACAGGTTATGAGCAAGTTGACATTCGATCTGTTTCCCTATCGTCAACCAGCATCTTTGTTCACAATTGAGTTAGAAAAGAAAATACATATGCCTGTAATTACTGTAACCACAGGCAAAAGATCATCGCCAACCAACATCCTTTCAGGGAGACATGAAAGAAAACACTTCAACTCGAGATGCCAAGGGAAAAGAGAGGAGATCTTTCTCATGGTGCAGAAAGTTAATTGATTTTGGCCTTCATGAAGTATAGAACATAAACATCCCGCTTTTCAAACAGACTATGAAGATTTCTTACAGTAGTTCTTGTACTCATTCTGCAGCGTTAAATCTACTGTAACGTCAGGGAGAATAAACCTTTAAAAAAAGAGCCTTTTGCCTTGTAGCCAGTATTCACTCCCCAGTCTTACCCGTGTGATTAACATGTATAGATCAGGTCTCTTTTTTGTAAGTTGAAATCTGCCTGCTTAGCCCCCTTGAGAGCCCTAAAACTCGCCGAGGAGCAGAGTCAGGCTTTATCAAGTCCTTATCAGCGATTAGAGCGGCAACCCCCGCTGAATGATCATTTATCAGATCTCCTCACCGTTAAGGTTCAGGGCACAATGATCTTAATTACTGCTTTAATGGGTGTATAAGCAAAAGCCCAGTGTAGTTCAGCAGTGGCAGTGGCAGCTAAATAAAGGGCCATTTCCCCTGCTCCCATCTCTTAAAAGGCACGTTTGAAGCGGTGGTGTGATGAAAGGCTCCCAATGAAGGGCAGGATGAAAAAAAGAACAATAACAAATTGACATCTCTTTTTGGAGAATTATACCACGGGGGGAGGCTTTCTCCCATCCTTAATCACTATAAAATGGTTTAACATGACACGCAGAGGCTGGCAAATGATCAAATCCTGACAGGAGGACAAATTGCAAACAAAATGAGAGATCAAGTTTATTAGAGCGCCGCCTCTGGGAAATGAAAATCTTTAATTCTCTTTTTACACTGACATTTATTTGGCTGGCATGAATAGCGATGTTCAGACACAGGCGCGCACACATGCCGATCCTGCTGCACCTACTACTGTAACTGCTCCACTGCAATGAAGTCAATGACATTTATCATGTTTGCCTTTGTAGATGACATCTGAAACACATTGTCTTTCATGCCGCCTGCATTCATCATGTATTTTATATAAAGTTCACAGCGGTGCACGGCTCTGTCTTCATGCAGGAGGAATGAGAGAAGCAGGCAGGAATTATCCATCACCTCCAGCACAACGTATTGATTACTTTTCTTTTTAACCGTCGGGCTCCTGCTTCGAGATTTGTTCCTAATTCTCATGAAAGGGAATGCACTTACAGAAATTCTACTTTGAAAATTAAAATTAGATTAACTTGATTAAGATAAATGCTGTGAATAAGTAAGGCTGGGAAATAAGGATTCATGTCCACCTGATGCATCGATGTCCAATATTCACTCTCCTGTTAGATCAGTGTTTGTTCTCCACCAGCTCTCGAGGAAAATATCTGGCTCTTTATCTGCTTAATCCAGTATGTTCACCAGCTAGTCGCTAATTTGTTGCTACAGTGGCCAACTGCAGCTGTAAACAACACTGACGAGAGTGAAAACTGTAAAGCTGCGGGCCGTAAAAACCAGAACAATAAGTTAAAGAATTAAAAAACCTGCTGAGGAGAGTTGTGTAATAATTCTGTGGGTTTCCTTTTCAGATTACGCACAGCTATTTTATCCATTGTTAATACAACAATATTGATTACAGCCACTTTAGCCTTTATTAAAAACCCAAGATAAGTCTCTTGAGAATCCTGGGCAAAATGGCAGCTCACTTTACAGACGATAAAAAGACAAATACAATATAGATACAGAAAAGTCCCGATTAATCATCGAGTGATTAATCTTGCCATCAAGAGCTTCGGCTCATAGAAAACTCTTGCCAGCAGTGTGGAATTGAGAACAGTGGACACATGTGAAGACAGTGTCCTGCCGTAGCTGTGCTGCTCTTCAGTCCCCCAGTGATGAGTGATATGTTGGGAGTCTTTCCCCTGAGGCCATCTCTCCCCCGCGCTAACTACTCTCAACTGCAAGGGCATCGAGGAGAGACACCCTGTGGCTGCAAACAAAGGCAAAGGCTCCCAGCAGTAATCGGAAACTATCGCCTCTCCTCACACCGCTTCAACCTGCAAACCCCTGCTCAGTTGTGATGACACTGCCTTTTAATGTCCCACTAACTAAATACGTCCCGAATCAAAAGGAGAGTGGATTGATTTGAGGACCAACATTTTCAACCTCTGCTCGAGGCCGCTCTGCCAGCGTTTTGCAGGAAGAAAAAAAAAAGGCCAGGATGTGTGAGTAAAAGCATTAAAATTGCTGAGGACTGGCCTGGAGTCTGTCCAAGACAAAGTTAGAAGTACTTCACAAATCAATGCCTGCTCTCTGCATCCCCCACACTTCTTTTATGCTCTGAAATGACAGAATGTAGTGCAAGCATTCTCTCTTTTTTTTTTTTTTTTTTAACATCTGGTGTCAATATTTCAGGTTAACTTCAAAGAAATTACTGATAGCGTTCGGCTCTCTTCAGTCAGCCATCCACCATCTATTTGAGGCTGCGTTCGGCAGTTTTGAGATATGAGGTTTAAGTGAAGGGTAAAGATGTCCAAAAGGGGCCCAAGTTGGGACGGCTTTGAGTGGTGCTGAAGTAGAAATAGGTGTAGATAAGCAGAGGAAAAAAAAAAAAAGGGAAAACAAAAATGGCCTACCAACGGTTGCAACAGTGTCCTCCTTGCCCTGTGTGAAGACCACCACTCGCTGCCTTTTCGGATTCTCCTTGGGCAGATTTTTGGTCTTGTTTGCAATCTCTGCAATGTCATCCGTCTGTAAAAAAAAAAAACCACACAAAACCACTGAGTATGTGAAGTTGAATGGATGCATCGGGAAGAGCAATTTCTGAGGAGTTAATCAACTGTGAGTGAGAGGGGGTCAGACTCTTTTTCCCCCCAATCCTGGCTGACGGATCAAGTGATAATAAAACCAGATGGGCCACGAGAACGCTTCAAAAAAGATCAATGGGAGCGCTCCATGATGTTTCCGTGCAGTTACAGGAGAGCTTTAAAATATTAGAATGCCATATTCCCTAAGTGAGATGAAAATAAGCATGTGAAGATATGCTGTTGTCAGATAAAGGTACTTCTGAGCTGAAGGGATAGGCGGTGCGTGTACTGCATCATTCTCTCCCTGAAACAGGCCATCTCCTCTCTCAGCATCTGCACAGAATGGATATTCTCGCCTGGAGACGACAGATCTCTCCGGAGTGCTTGCCTTTGATCATGAGAGGGATAAAAAAAACCACACCTGTCAGTGCTACTTTATTATTAACTCATCATGATGTACTATGAGCAGGTGGAATGTCTTTATCGCCGCCTCGCAGTGGGGTGGACTCTGCTTTTCCATAATACAGCACGCTGAGGAGCTAGCATTAAGGGTCGTAGACGCCTCAAGCATCTGTGTCAAAGCTAACACTCGAGCACCTCCAGGGCGATCAAATACTGTGGTTATGGGAGTAATCAGAGAGATAGGCTCCAACCCAATACCAGCCACACTGGCTCACTCAAACCAATGAGCTTTTACACCTCTAAATGCCTCCCAAATGTCCTTTAATCAGCCCTGAGAGGTCCGGTGAGACCCTGAGTCGAAGAAAAAATGGGTGTAACACTCTAAGTAAGTGCTAATGGTGAGGTTAATACAGTGGCTGTTAGCAGGGCGATGGTGAAAAAAAAAAAAAAAAAAAAAGGCAATTTGTCACCGTGACTGGATGTAACCACAAGCACTCCTCCAGACACTGAATGCAAAACCACACGAGGCTCCGGCACATTGTCACCCTTCGGTTTTATGTTCACCGACATAAAAAAGGCGCTCTGCTCAAGTTTAGGAGCTAAAAGGTTCTCAGGGCCAGAGTTGGTGGGGTGAGCCGCTCACACATAAACGGCAGAAACACACACCTGACAAGTACGGCGAGGGAAGTGGTGAGTGCAAAACAAATGAATTGACAAATTATATGGTCAACTTGGTTTACTGCTGACAAATGGCAATATTTACAATTGTGCGGCAATTGATCATCAGACATAAATCAACAAGGCGTGAAATATAAAAGCTTTACAAGGGCGTTAAATTGTGTTTCTGTGTTGAAGCCAGTGAGAAAGTGATCATCTCCACTGAAGGCTGTTTGACAAACACTGCCAGCGAAAGATTCAATCAGAGCTGCCATGTAGATAGTTCTTTGAGCATTTAAAGGAAACAGATCACAATCAGGACTCTGTGCTCAGATCTGCTGATTTGGAAAGGAAAAGCTTTTTATCTCACATTTACGCGGAAGAAGTGCTGCTGTCTTTTTGTGTTAGTCGTCCATAATGTGATGATAACAGTGTTTCAGAATACATTAAAAGTGCATCGTGTCAGATATTGACAACTGGGCAGCTGCTAATACAACATCCAAATATAGTAAGACTCAAAAGGGACACACTGACCAATTAACTGGACTTTAAATCAATTTAAATTAAACTCAATGGCTTTAAAAGAGTCATAGTACACTGACTAATAAAAGACTTTATTGTACAACGGGATCATACTTTTCTTTATTGTCTTATACCATATTATTGAGGATATTATTAAAGCCTGTTCGATTAATGATTGATTTTGAACAATGACGTTTACTCTGATTCGTAATGTAGAATTTAACAACAGAAGTCAGCTCACTGAACGTAATAACATGAATTCTTGTCTTGGCACGAGATCAATCCACTTACGGGAGATTTTGCGGAGCGTCTCTCGACTCCTACAGAGGATGGAGTTTGCTCAGTTGTCATGGAGACAGTTTTTGAATTTTGGTCACATGATAACAGGTGGTCGGATGCGACGCGAGAGACCACCCTTTAACCAATCTCCATGACAACTGGGCAAACTCCTTCTGCTTGTGAAAGCCATGGGATGAGACTGAAAGCTCCGGAATATCTCCAGTGAGTGGAATATTTTGTCAAACTACAGTTTCTGTGATTTTTTTTTTTTTTGATTAATGCTGTGATTTCAACACATTTGACGTATTGTGTATTAGGGTTGGAAAAATATCCCCGTTATGCAAATCAAACTGAGTTATTCTGAACTCGTACTCATTAAAATGATACGGTGGGAATTTCTTTTTCCCTCCTGGTTTGACGATGTAATTGTCCTTTCATGCTCTTAACAAAGTTCTAGAAGCTACTGGAGAATGTATTGATATTTTCCCCCCAGACTACAGAATTGGGGGTAAAATTGTCATCAGAAAGAAGTCCGCTGTGAAGAACCTCTTTGAACTACAACCATCTAGAAATGCAGTAAGTACAGTACACACCACCGACGTTATCGGAGAAATCACATTCATCCGACGCAATCTTACAGAGTGTTCTGGCAAATCAGATTGACATGGAAAATGTCAAAGAATTGTGACTACGAGGAGAGTCTTTGCCCTTTGTGTTATTTTTTTTCTCATGAGAGGCCCCCTCCATCACCCCC